TGGGGGTTGCCGGGCTGGGCGGGCTTGGCCACGTGGCGGTCAAGTTTCTTAAGGCATTCGGGGCCAAGGTGACGGTGATGGACATTGCGCCGGAGAAGAAGGCGTACGCGCTCGAAACCCTGGGTGCCGACCAGTTCCTGCTGAGCCACGAGCTGGAAGCCGCGGCTGGAACCATGGACGGGATCCTCGACTGTGTGTCGGCCTTCCACTCAATCCAGGCTTACCTGAATCTCTTGAAGCCGCACGGAAAGCTGGTGGTGGTGGGCTTGCCGGAGAAGCCACTGCAGCTGCCGATGTTTGCTCTGGCGACGGAGAGGAAAATGATTGGCGGAAGCATGATCGGTGGGATTAAGGAGACGCAGGAGATGATCGACTTTGCGGCTAAGCACAATATATTGCCGGATGTTGAGATTATTTCAATGGATTACATAAATACGGCTATGGAGCGCCTTGCCAGAGCTGATGTCAAATACAGATTCGTCATTGATGTGGCGAATTCACTTAAAGCTTAGTTAGTGAAGGTTTAGATTAATACTCATTATTTTGCTTTATTAATCGAATTATTTTTTTTCATTTTTTTTTCAAATTGTTGGTGGGATTGTTTCAATTTGATGCAAGTAGATTTTAGAGGAAAGATAATAATATATGTTGCTTTTAATTTGTTAGTCTTTTGTTTCGCGTGCAATGTAATGGTAAGAGATAATTAGCATTTATAAATTTAAAATTCTTATAATATTTAAAAATTAAGAATATAAAATTAATATGTAATACAATTACCTATACTAATTTATAGATAATGTTATATAAATTTTAAATTGTATAAAATTACATAAAAATATTTATTTAAAATTAGTACACTACTCGTGTGGTGCACATAACTGATAATACATTACATTATATTCGTTTCAAAATAAGTATTATTTCAAAACTTTTATTCAGAAATTCAATTTGAGCATAATATGAATCCAAAAAATAGTTATTTCGGTAAAATCTTATTATATATTTAACAGTCTACGTGAATGATAAATATAAATATAAAGTTTATATTGTTTCATTACTTAAAATAATTTATTTTTGTATAAAATATTCAAATAAAAAAATAATAAGCAGTTGAGTAATTAATTAAATTATAAATAATTGTCTATTTCGTTTACGTCCAAGTTAATATTGATCCGCGAGTTATTAAGTAATTTATTAAACCATAAATAATTGTCTATTTCGTTTACGTCCAAGTTAATATTGACCCGTAAGTTATGAATAATTATCTTTTTATTTTTAATTTTCAATAATTTTTTTCAATATATTATATACCAAATTTAAACCATGCAACTAATAAAGATAATAGCTGTAAGTTTTTTCAATATATTATATTTCAAACTTAAATTATGTAACTAATAAAGGTAATGGCTGTAATATTTGACCAAAATGATTATGTATATTAATTAAATTTATTCGGGTGGGATTTTTTAAATTTTGGCAAAAATATTACTAAATATAGTAAATAATTTAGGCGGGAAACCAAATATTTTTTTTGCTGATTTTTAGTTGTTATTTCAAGTATATATTATTCCCTTTATATATTAATAGATTTATTAATATTGTTATGCTTAGCTAGGACTTGTTGTCCATACACACGCTTATAATTATACATCGTGATGTATCAAAAAGATTAAAAAAAAAAATTATATATCGTGTGCCACGAAAGGCTTGGTGTCCACAAGTAGTCGAGGCTCATTTACCAGGGTTCGAATCGGCATCCCTGAGGATGTGGGACTTCATTAACCAGGATTCTTGACAACTCTACACTAACGAGCCACCCCCGATGTGGACTCGATCCAAGAGGTTGCTTTTGCAGCCAAATATCATCACAACTCGTTTTCTCTTTAGTTCCCTCTTTTCCTGCCATTGATAGCGAAAAAAACCTCGTATAAATTGAAGAAAGATGCATTCGCTTCAACCGTGGTAGAAATGGATTTTGCACAGATAGTGCCAATTTGATAAGGATATAAAAGATGACTTCGATTTATTATTAACGAGAAACCCATGGCACTAGAAAATTGGCGGAGACGTGCACCAAACGTCACCGCTTCCCATGCCTCTTGTGTCATCGGATCGACTGACAGGCTATGATTCTTCTCTTCCAAGCTGCCGCTTTGAGCTTTCCGAGAATGGCCATCCCTACGCCTGTAGAGGAGTTCTTCTCCCCCATTGACCCATATTGGCTTCAGCCCTGCCGGAATTTGGCCCACAACAGAAATTAGAGGATGTAATTTTGACGAGCCCAACTACCAGACTACTCACAACCCTA